CAGCTGGGGTTCACCGCCCGAACTCTTCTCCCCCACACGCTGCAGCTTTTCCCCGATTCACCCCGCGCTGTCTTTTTGCATCGTGCGGGGGAGAACGAAAAGAACCGTCTGAACTCAATCAGCATTCCCCTTTTCTTCTCTGCTCCGGTCGCCTGCTCGCCATCGACCTACCCTGACGGCTGCAAAGACTACATGCCCCCTTCTCCATGTTGATTGACCCGTCAAGTGATTCAACATAGCCTTAGGCTCAGCGCATGTCAATCAACAGCTGCTCGGGTCATGTTCAACCCAACTCTGGGCTGTTTTTTCTCGTCCAAGCCTCTCCCCTCTCCGCTAGCGCCAGTTTCTCCGCACGTCGCGGTTTAGACTCCAAATGAAGGGTCACACTCTTGACGGGTCCATCTGGACTTATTTCGACTGATGTCCGTACCAGCTTCCAGGGCGCTCCACTCCAAGCCCATGGATGAATACCGACGGCCCTTTTAGCCTGAATGCGATAGTGGCATTACCGCTGTCTGCCCCGGTCGGGAATGCCCCGATGCTGGGTTCCGGGAGGAGTTCTCTGCGAGTTCGCAGATCTGGATGGCTACCCGTGACGCGCTTGGAGCTGGCTTTATAACACCCTGCCACCCCGAGTTACCATGCGAGCTTGGTAGAGCAAGTGCTTCTCCAACTGGCTTTCCTCTCCAGCGGCACCAACCATGCGGACGTCTCTTCTCCTCGCGTCCATCCTCGGCCTCGTTGTCGCCGAGGATGGCCTCGACGGTTGGCTGCGCTACGCCAGACTCCCCGAGTCGGCAGGCGCAGCGAACGCTCTTCTTCCCTCTGCCGTAGTTGGACTCAAAGCCACGGAGAACGGTCCGATTTCTTCTGCCCTTTCCGAGCTGCAAAAGGGGTACCAAGGCATTCTCGGCATGGAGGTCGCAGTTGGCAGCGATGCTTGCAATGGCTCTTCTATCGTCGTGGCCACCCTCGACACCTACGTTGCGGCCTGCGGTGCCGACAGTGTCACAGCGGACCTCGTCGAAGATGGCTTCTGGCTGAGCGTCAAGGGTGACTCGGTCAAGATTCTAGGTCTGAATGAGAGGGGCGCGTTGTACGGTGCCTTTGAGTACTTGAGCTTGCTTGCTCAAGGCAACTTCAGTGAGCTTGCGTACGCGACCAACCCGTCTGCAAAGATCCGCTGGGCCAACCAGTGGGATAACATGGATGGCACCGGAACTCACGGCAGCATCGAGCGTGGTGTAAGTCCCTCTGCCTCATGAATCATTGTCTGTCAGCTCTCTCATGCTGACTTTTGCAGTACGGAGGAGTCTCCATCTTCTTCGAAAACCTCAAGGTTGTTACCGACATGACCCGCGTCTCTCAATATGGCCGCCTCCTAGCCTCAGCCAAAATCAACGGCATCATCGTGAACAATGTCAACGCCAACCCCATTCTCCTGTCCTCGGAGAACCTGGACGGCTTGAAGAGAATTGCCGATGCCTTCAGGCCCTGGGGTGTCCAAATTGGCATCTCGATGAACTTTGCTTCTCCGCAAACCTTTGGTAACCTCACGACGTTCGATCCCCTCGACGAGACTGTCATTGCGTGGTGGGGCAACATCACCGAGCAGCTATACTCGCGCATCCCAGACATGTGCGGATACCTCGTCAAGGCCAATTCCGAGGGCCAGCCCGGCCCCATAACATACAACAGAACCCTCGCGGACGGTGCCAACCTCTTTGCCAGGGAGCTGAAGAACCATGGCTTCAAGCAGGGCATCGTCATGTTCCGTGCCTTTGTCTACGATCAACTGAACTGGACAGACTGGCACGCGGACCGAGCAAACGCGGCTGTGGAATTCTTCAAGGAGCTGGATGGCAAGTTCGACGACAATGTCGTCGTACAGATCAAGTATGGCCCTATCGACTTCCAAGTCCGTGAGCCTGTGTCGCCTCTCTTTGCCAATCTGGAGCACACCAACATGGCTATCGAGCTGCAGATCTCGCAGGAATACCTCGGGCAGCAGGATCATCTCGTCTACCTCCCTCCTCTGTGGAAGACCATCCTGGACTTCGATCTTCGCATCGGAGGGCAGCCCTCCGTAATGCACGACATTCTCTCGGGCAAGCGCTTCAACAAGACTCTCACCGGATATGCTGGTGTTGTCAACGTCGGTGCCAACTCTACTTGGCTGGGTAGTCACCTCGCCATGTCAAACCTCTATGCTTACGGCCGACTGGCCTGGAACCCGACTGATGATGTTACCACCATTGTTCAGGACTGGACCCGTCTGACCTTCGGCCTGGACCCCACCGTCATCGACACCATCACCAAGATGTCGATGGAGAGTTGGCATGCGTACGAGAGCTACAGCGGCAACCTGGGAATCCAGACGCTGACAGATATTTTGTACGCTCATTATGGGCCGTCGCCTAGGTGAGTCTTTCCTCGTACCAGCCTCCTGCCTTACCAGTGCTGTATTTACTAACCCCATCCACAGATCCCAGGACAACAACGGCTGGGGCCAGTGGACCAGAGCGGACGGATTCAGCGTCGGCATGGACCGAACAGTCAAGAATGGCACCGGCAACGCTGGACAGTACCCGACAGAGGTGGCGGAGATGTATGAGAACATTGACACCACACCGGACGACCTCCTTCTCTGGTTCCACCATGTCCCCTACACTCACGTGCTCAAGAGCGGAAAGACCGTCATCCAGCACTTTTATGACGCACACTATGACGGCGCTGCCACTGCTCAGAAGTTTGTGCCCATGTGGGAGTCTCTTAAGGATCAGATTGATGCCGAGCGCTACGAGCATGTCCTCTTCAAGCTCAAGTACCAAGCAGGGCATTCCATTGTGTGGCGTGATGCTATCAGCAACTTCTACTGGAACAAGTCCAGCATTGCCGATGAGGCGGGCCGTGTGGGCAACTACAAGTACCGCATCGAGGCCGAGAGCATGACTTTGGACGGATACAAGGTTGTGGAAGTTGATCCCTTTGAGACGGCATCCGGCTACAAGGCCATCGTCACCAGCTCCAACACGACTGCCGGAACTGCCACAGCCGTCGTCGACTTTGAGTCTGGAACTTACACTCTTGCTGTCAATTACTTTGACGTCATCAGGGGCAAATGCTCGTATGTTGCCTACATCAACGACCAAGTCGTTGGCCAGTGGAGGGGAGACGGGGAGGAGAAGCTGGGTCACTGGCCATCGGAATACCTGGATGGACACTCAGCCATTCGTATCAACTTCCCCGGAGTCAAGATTGAGAAGGGAGACACTCTCAAGATTGTCGGAACTCCAGACGGGCCAGAGGTGGCCCCGCTAGACTACGTGAGCTTCTTGCCCGATGGTATCATCGATTAGAAGCGACTTTCTCATATCTGTGGCGTCAATTCTCTTCCGCGGAAATTCTTCGTACATATTGCAAAAATCAATGTTTAAATGAAAAGAAAAATTCATAATTAATTATGGCGCTTCGTAATAGAGTGATTACAGTTGGTGATCTCCATCTTGGGGTATCAAACCATACACAGTCAAAACCCCACATTTTGGTAGACCGAGATTTGACACAAACTAGGCTTTTTTTCAACCTGCCGAACCACGCAGCGCTTTTGGCTCCCGGGGTTGACGTCGACTCGATATAACTGCCATTGGAACGACAGCCGACCGTACAGTATTAACCTCAAAGCAAATAGTGAGACGACCTCGTTGCCAAAAGACGTGTCCTGTCGAAAGCTACACCTCAAGGCTTCACAGAGAACCGCTCACCAGACACACGCACTAACACACATCACAGACGATCGAAGATGCTCCCAACACCAGACACATCCCACGTGCCCTTTGAGCGTGTCTACGAACCGGCAGAGGACTCATATCTCCTCCTCGACACCATCTCTGCGCCCTCGGAAACAGCCTTCCTCACCTCCCGCTTTGGCGGGAACAGCACCGCCGCGCCCCTCGTGGTCGAAGTCGGCACCGGCTCGGGCGTGGTCATAGGCTTCGTTGCCGCCCAGGCCGAAAGACTGTTCGGGACCCGCAACGTCCTGACGGCGGGCGTGGACCTGAACGGCTTCGCATGTCGCGCGACAAACGGCACCGTCGAGCGCGCGCGCAAGGAGAACGAGGAGACGGGCTGCCACGCTTGGCTCGGTGCCATGATGGGCGATTTGGCATCCCCGCTGCGCGACGGCGTCGTCGACGTCCTCGTCTTCAACCCGCCGTATGTGCCTTCCTCGGAGCTGCCCAACCAGTCGTCGGACACTTTGAGGATTGGCGAGAGGAAAACGACCTTTGACGAAGACTCGTATTTCCTCTCCTTATCATACGCGGGCGGCAAGGACGGCATGGAGACCACGGATAGGCTACTCGAGGCTTTGCCTTCGGTGCTTTCTGCTCGAGGCTGCGCCTACGTTCTCTTATGTGCGCAGAACAAGCCGCAACAAGTCAAGGACCGCATCGAGGGACTGGGAAACGGCTGGAGAGCTGTCACGGTCGGCGAGAGCGGGAAGCAAGCCGGATGGGAAAAATTGCAGATCATTAGGGTATGGAGAGCTGATGAGTAGACACCGTGGAACAGAATTATTGTCAACTTCTTTTGCATGGTTCTCTCGCCTTGAACAAAGATCAATCACCACGCACTCTAGGTGTTCAAGCGCCACCGTTACCACCGCTGGTGTCGAAGGTTCATGGTGGAATTGAAGTCTTGATTTCCCTATCTTCCCCAACGCCTGAAGAGCACCCGGTTCAACTTGATGCATATGATACTTTTCATGCTCTGGACCGAACTGCAAAGTAAGTCGCGGGTTTTGTCTCCGGGGGGCCCGCGACGATCTTTCCCCCCCTTTCCAAGTCGGCCCCAGGCGTCTGCAGTCATCTCCCCCGGCGATAGCACATGGATCATCCATTCTCAGCCGCGCCCGTCGTAACTGGCTGTGCGTGTGCGTGTGCGTGTGCTCGTCTGCAGACCGTGGAAGCGCCCTCTGCCTCGTACAGATCTCATCCCATCTAACCACGACCGCGACCGCGTCCCCTGCCACGGCCACGTCCTCTTGGGCCGCCTCTGCCTCCACGGCCGCCGGTGCCGCGCTCAGCCTCCTTGCGAGCCTTGTTCTTGGGTTTCGGCGCGTCGTCGATGAGAAGCGTGTCTAGCGGGAGCGAGTCGGGCAGGATGAAGTATCGGATGGTGGAGCCACGGATATTCATGGTGTCGAGCGACACGGCGTCCTGACCCTTGGGCGTCATCTTGACTGTACGAAGCGCCGTGTTCATCTGGGGCGAGACAGACGTGATGGTGCCGTGTACGATGGTGCCTACGTACGATCGCGTCAGCAGTCATCCTCAATCAAGAGTCCTACCGTGAAGTTCGTGCTTCTTGGGAGGGCGGGGGAAAAAAAACCACTAACCGTTCTTGAGTTCAATTGTCACCGTTTCGTTGGCGCATTTCATCAAAAATCTGGTGGTGGGCAGTCCATGTCAGCTCTGGCGGTCCTCGATCAGGGCGTTCTTTTGCGATGGAAGCTCAGCACACAGACCGAGTACGGGGAGGGGAGAAGGCTTTGAGTGCTTACCTGACGAGCTTCATGTTGGCGGCTTCCGTATGTCGCGTGTGGATTGGGATAGTGTGGGTGAGAATGAGGATGTCGCGACCCTGCGTGGACCAGTTGACTCCTAAGCCGCAGAAGCAGGAGAGGCTGAAGCTTCGGAAAAGTTCCCAGCCCGTATCTGGGAAGTGGGGCCCGCCAATAGCCTGGCTGGGGCGCAGCACATATGCAGCTGTGGCTTATGTGCCTTGAAGGCATCACAATGTACCTATGTACCGCAGCGGCGCACCTGCCACGTCTACTCCATTCGTCAATGACATGGCAATAATTGAGGCCAAACTCGACACTGGACGGACGAAGATTAGGCGAGGGCAACATCCAGACAAGAAAATTACACATTAAACGTCGAGTATCTCGAGAAAAGAATGTACTTGAAACAGCCCGATAAAGCCTCTCCCAATTCTTTGCTTCGATCAATTGTCGTGATCGGAACAGCATTAACCAAGGTTCATTTCGAACCTTTCAATAACCGGACCCCAAACGGGAAGCTCCCTTTCGTTCCTTGCTGCCTGGACCTCAGAACTCGCGATTTGGACGCAGAGACCCCCGACAGAGTCAGGTCTAACCTCTGCTCCGTCCTCTCCAATCACGCGGACTTGAAGAAATGTCTTCAAGTAGGGCTCGACCTGGCCTGGATCAAGCCCTGCCACGCCCCCTGCAGACACCATGTGCATCAAAGCTGACGTTAATGGGACCGTTCCCGATACATGGTTTGCGGATCCCATGTTCTTCATAGCGAAGACGTTCATCGACCCAATCAAATTCGGTGCCGCCGACCAAGACCTAATGTCTCCAGGAACCGCGCCTATGAACAAATGAATAGTAAACGAGCCGTTCAGTGCGCCGTTCTGTACGTGGACATTGGCGATCCACTCTGTGTATGTGTTATCGTCAGTCACAAGACTGGCAGCAACGTGAGGCTCGCGTGAGAAGTCTGGTGACACATCATCTGACAAAGTGCCTTGTCGAAGTTGCGAAAACTTCCCGCGATCTCGTCTCTCAAGGGCTCTCTTGCGCTTTTGAACGAGGGTTGAAGGGCTGGATGAGCCGTAGAGCCTGTTGATTGCAGCTATGAGGCGGGTACGATCTTCCGACTTGGACCCCGCCTGGCCAGGAATGGTCTCCGCGTATGAGTAGCCAAAGTGCAATGTGTCGTTTGCCATCTCCGAGTTCCAGAATGCGCCGCTGGCATTTGCATAGAAGGGTTTTAGCTCCGTGAATACGTCTTGGACTTCTCCGGGTGGCATGGTGAAAGAATGCTCCATCGCGACCTGGGGCGTCACCCACGAGTTTGGGTATAAAGCTTGCCACATCGTGACTACCCTGTCCGCCATTGTATGGTGAAGGAAAAACACAGGGTCAAAGGCTGAATATTGGATGTAGTACATGTGGCCACGGTTACCAACCAAAACATGCATCGCGTCATGAAGCGCTTCGACCGAGTCGAATTGCGACTGGTTGGTGGCCGTGCCCCAATACTTGTTGCTGAAGGGTCCGTAGTCCTTGTAATTTGACAAAAGGGTGTATAGTCTCTGCTGTAAAGCCGGTCTCGCATGTTCGATGGAATGCGCCACGCTGCGGTTGTCAGTCTTCTCAAACGGCGCTCGCTTGGTCTCTGTCCAATTCGGGAACTGCTTGGATTAGCTCCCGCACCTCTCCGTCAAGTGCTTGCTGATTGTTTGCTTACATCGCCTTGGGAGAAAACCTTGGGATCCAGCGGATTGAACTTGTAGCTGTAAAGCGGGTTGGCAATGTACTGCCAACCGTTGGGGCCATATATCTGAATGCCTTCGGATTCGAAATCAGGGAGGAACACGCTTTCTCCGGCCGGCGGTGAAGCAGCCCAATCCCAATACGGGATGCGAAAATCAGCTGCAGCGGCATGATAGAAGGTACGCTCGTTTGGATCCGTGAACCAGGTAGCGATCATTTGTACCAGGCGAAAGAGAACTTGCTGGCTGGAACTTAGTATGCACACGTACTGCAACTCATGGCCTTCACTCACCTCGTACAGGGCGAGATAGACGCGGTGCCATGGAGGAAAGAGAATGGACATGTGGGTGCAATAGCCCCTATCGTCGATCCCCGGAGCACCTAGAACGCCATTCCACGGACCGAAAGGAACTCCATGAATACCTGTTTGATGTTAGGATTTGGCTCGAGTGTTGAGCGAATAAACCTGCCTGCGATCTGGTACCACGAGATCTCGTCGTTCTGGTTCGTGTACTGTAGCATGCTCATGGAGAGCAGAAACAGATTCCATTTGTATGGGTTCTGCTTCATCTGCCTGATTTCAGGACGAAGGGGCACAGTTCCATTAGCGAGGGGAAGCTTTGTGACAACGATGGGGTCTTGTGTTTGGCGTTTAACCAAATTTGCAGCATCAAAGCCGTAATTGTACGTGGGCGAGTACGGGACTGCCGTGACAGCTGCCGCGAAGAGAATGATGAACGACCAGAGGGCGACACGAGACTCCATTGCCACGCGGGCTTTGTTGTAATCAAGCGGAATGAAGGACGACATGCGTGGGCCTTGGACCGAGGTGGAAGTGATATTTGAATCAGAGGGATGGAGGCGGGTAACCGGCAGTTGTGGTTGCAGTTGCAGAGGTATGTTGTTCAAGCTGGTCGAAACGATGGAACCTGAGCCACGGAAGAGTACCCTGTGTGGGACGAGAAGATCGTGGGCTTCAAAAACTGCAGAATGCTTCAATGGTTACTCTGAGCAAATCCGCCATTGTACAGACGGGGGAAGGTGGGCAAAGGACTGGCGGGGAGTGGGAGGAAAGATATCAAGTCAGGCGGTGTGGACGAACACGGCCGAGACTTGCATTTCGATGAAGGCCAAGCGCATGAGACGAGTGTGGCACGCTGCATCCGCGTCATTCACAGCTGCAGGTTAATTTAAATTGTTTCCCCGGCGTTGCTTCTGTTGAAAGGAAAGCATCTCAGTGAAGAAAGTGCCCCCAGAAGATCTACTGCGCTGGTGCACGCACCGACTACTTACAGCCAGCCAGCAGAAAAGAAGGGGTCTTGCACCTTCTCTTCGGCAAGGACGGCTAGGTAGCTGTACCATAGAAGTACCATGGTCAGGGCTACTTTCACCAAAGCAAGCGTCCGCGAGAGCTTCGTTCGATGACCTGCCTGAAGGCTGTATCCGCGAGCCCTTTGGAACCTCCTCCAATGTGTTGGTTTAGATCGGTGGCCCCCTCGAAATAACCGCAACACACAATTGATCATGAGCTGAGCATGCGCGGAACCGTTTGACCATCAGACATCACTTACATCCTCGTGGGCTGTTTGCTGTCTTCTGAGGCAACCCCTTGCCTCTGAAGTAAGGTATTCTGGTCACGTTACTAACGGCGGCCCATTGCCAGAACGTACCTGAAGTGTAAGGGCAGTCAGCATCTGCACTTCTGAATCCAGAGCTTGGTGGCAGCGTTGCCTGGGCCGAGCCGGTAACCGATCTCCATGCCTTTGTACGACGGCTACCGGTGTTTCGTGATACGAGTGTCATTTCCAAAGTCCGCTGGAATCGGTTACCTGCATATCGCAAACGACATGATTATTCCAATCCGGTCCGGGAATCCTTTGCACGGCCGTACGGACACTGGGCAACAATGTTTGTCAAACCGCTCTTCGGCCTTCGGCTTTTCACACCAGGAGCGCTATCGAGCTCGGAATAATACATCCACCAAAGGGTTGTTGGTGCGCGGCGAGAGAAACACACGCATTGGATGGGGTCTGGAATAAACCATAATCAAATTACAGAGGTGACTGACTTCTTTTGTCCACCAAACGCCGTCTATGGTAATGATGACATGGGCTTCAATGGGCCCTTGCGGGGTGCGTCGCGGGAATCGACGCGGTACTTCAGCTTGACACCCATAGCTGCCAGCTCAACATCCAGGTACTTGAGCGCACCAGGAACGACAACCATCGTCGTGTTCTCTCCTCCAACCCACTGGTTACCCTGTCCGTCCTCCCAGATCTCCCCCTCGACCTTGGCAGCACTGACAGCATCACCGGCGTCCAGCTGGGTTGCGCAGTTTCTGCATCGCACCGTCGTGACTTGCTTCTTCTTGCCAACGAACGGCGAGACCGTTGGTTGAACCGAGAGAAAAGAGCCACAGCTCCGGCAGATCCACGTCTTTGTGTAGTCGGAACAGTTAAGCAGTCTGTCCTGCAGCAAAAAGGCGGTGCCGTGAGCGAGCAGAGCATCACGTTCCATCTCTCCCACACGAATACCACCACCACGCTTCCTTCCCTTGATGGGCTGGCCCGTGGTTGGCACGACTGGTCCGGTCGTTCGGACCTGGTACTTATCGTTAACCATGTGACGCAGACGCTGGTAGTAGACAACTCCGACGTAAATGTCCGCCGCCAGTTCCTCTCCAGTGATGCCCGAGTACATGGGCTCGTTGCCATGGTAGTTGTAGCCAGCCTTCATCAGTTGATGGCCAAAGTAGTCGGCCGCCGTGTTTTCCTCGTTGAACTTGAATGGCGTCGAATCTTGCGCCAGACCGTGGAGGGCTCCCGCCTTTCCGGCGAGGGACTCGACGAACATGCCGATTGTCATACGAGAGGGGAAAGCATGGGGGTTGATAATGACATCTGGTTGCATACCAGATTCAGAGAAGGGCATGTCGATGGCTGGCCACTTTTGAGAGGCAACACCCTTCTGTCCGTGACGAGAGGAGAACTTGTCACCGATAACTGGAGATCGAGGAATTCGCAGCTTGATGGAAACAGTCTGAGCGGGCTCGTTGCCCGTCTCGCTTCCGATAACGCGGACTTCTTCGATGAAGGCTGTCTCAGATTCCTTGTACTTCTCATAGTGGGTTTGTCCGTCGAGGTTGATCAGCTTGCCGCTGTAGTCTGCTGACACCGTGTGCCACGCGCAGAGGACGTCTCCTTCTTGGACCATGCGGCCGACGAATGGCAAACCGTCCTCGTCAAGAGCCGCACGGTAGTGCCCCTTGACGAAGCCACCAGGAGCGAAGCCAAAGAGCTTGGTAATGTTCTTCACAGATCTAGTTCTCGACTCGTCCTTGAGGCTGACCTTCTTCGTCTTGTAGATGGTACCGTGTCCGAAGCCTCTTTCATGTGCTGATTTGTTCAAGATCATAGCGTCGTCCATGTCGTAGCCAGTGTACGAGATGACCGCCACAACAGCGTTCGTGCCGTTGGGAAAGTTATCGAAACCGTAAGCGTTGTGCAGAGGCGATCGTACGACGGGAGTCTGGCCACTTTGCAACCGGTACATCTTGTTGTCGGTTCTGTGACGCAGAGCAGCTCCCGGTGTTCCCATGGTTTGCTTACCCATCTGACACTGGTACATATTTCTGGGTGACTGGTTGAAATCTGAGAAAGGTGTCATGTTCGCCAGAATAGACAGCATATTCGTGGGACTGAACTCGACATGCGTTGTCTCTCCGGAAACGATCTCATTCTCGACAACGGCGATCGACATGTATGGTTGCTCGTGGGGTCCAACAAAGTCTTCCTTGTCCAAAGGAAGATACTTGACGGGTCTGACCATACGTGCGGGCGCAGACGCCAAGTAGACTCCGGGGTAAGAGCCGCCGTGGGAGGGAGGGACGTATCCAATCTCGAGTTGCAGAGGCACGCCATGGGTACCCTCGACCTTCCAGTGGCGCAGGGTATCTGCGATTCTCAGGGACTCACGAGGAGCGCAGAACCCAATGATCCTGCCGTCAAGCATAATGACGACGCTTTCGTCGGTCGCAGCGGAAGAGGTCTGCACGGCGCCCAGCTCCGTCACAAGGGCGGGAATTTTGGAAGCATCGACAGACTCGGTCATAATCTTACACTTGTGTGCCAGATGGTTCAGCAGGCCACAGGGAGCACCATCGGGAGTATGTACTGGACACATGAAACCCCAGGATTCGGGCAGAAGCTTTCGAACCGTTGTGGTCTTGAGCTCGGCGAAGAAAGCACCTCTGTGGATCATTCGGAAATGGCTGATGAAACGGAGGAAGTTGAGCTTTTCCGCGACGACTGTGAAACCCGCCGTTTGCTGCAAGTCAAGACCTGAAGGACTCGTCAGGTTGCCCGTGGACAGGAAGTACTCCAATCCGTTTCCGACGTTCTCGTTGGCGTGTCTGAAGATGTTTCCGGGGAATTCCTTGGCGAATTCTTGAGATGTAAATGGCGTGGCGGGGTGCTTTCTGCACCATTCTCTCAAAGACAGCCTGACAGCGGTAGTCAGGAATTCCTCGAGACGTTCCTTGATAATCATCCCGTAAAGGAAGCCTCCGAGAAGAACCTCCTGGTTCTGAAGGGCATCTGGGTTGTCGACGGCACAGTCCCCAGCAACAAGAGCGTAGAGCTTCCGGATCATGAACAGCAAAGTCCTGAACTTGTCGTTGTCTTCCTTCTCAGTGACGTTTACGTTGCCCAGGTGGACAAGCACAATTTTGCGCAAGAACTCAGTACCAACATCATAGTTGGACATGGTATCCGGAACGCCCATCACAACGCGGAACTTCTCGCCCAAGTAGGCTCTCGTCTCAGTCTTGCTGTAAAGGCCATACGACTTGTAGGTGCGGAGGAGTAGCTCAACTCGGTCCGTGAGGAAGGTGTTCTTGGCTGACTTGGAGTGCGACAGGCCAATCAGCCCTTCAAAGATCTCGCGGTCGTTGGTCTCCACCAGCGCCTTGAGGATCATCATGACCGGGATGAGGTACTCATTCTTTTTCCAGGAGAACCGGAAGGTCATGTTTCCGTCACTCAAATAGTGCAAGACATTGGTTTGCGATGTTTCGTCGGGCCTGACGGAGCGTAGAATGATACCGTACGGGGTGTAGCCTTGGCCACGGTTCTGGAAGCTGGGGCGGTTGATGGCCATGGGGAAGTTTCGTCGGTTGACCTGTAGCATTCGGATGATCTTTTCGTTGCCGTTCACGATGAAGTATCCGCCCAACTCCTCCGACTCCTCCTTCTTTTGAACCAGCTGCGCGGGCGAGTTTCCTTCCAAGTGGCACCTGTTGGACTGCGAGAATCCTATGAGCGGGGCACTTCCAAGGACGACTTGGGCGACGAAATGCGCTTACCTTGACCATAATAGGGACCTGGCCGAGCTCGCGAACGAACTCCTTAGGATCACCATCGTTGATCCTGTACTCGAATGTCGCGGAAAGTCTGCCTCGGTAGGTGCAGTGGCGTTCTCTGCACTCGGACGGGAGAATCTCGCGATTGCGGGCGAACTTGTTGGAGGGGGGCAGCTGAGACTTCTGGAGCGACACGCCCTTGTACTTGATGGTCAAGCGATTCTTGCCCTCGGGTCCGGTTCTGTCGTCGCCGTCGAGATAGGATTTGACGCCGATGTCCTCCAAGCCTCGCGCGAGGAGGCCCTTGCCGTCGGCTCTGAACAGAGCATTGAAGGAGTCGATGTGCGGGCTGACGGCTTCTTGCAGAGCCGGATAGGCCGTGTGATCCTTAGGGGGATTCCTGAAG